AACAAGCCTGGAGACATCTCAGCATTTCCACCAGCCTTGCTGGACCCGTCTCATGAACAAAATAGGAAAAATGAGGCGTTCCCCACAAGGCTGTTCTGAAGATTAATTCAGATAATGCACATGTCACACAGTGCCTGGAACAGAGATGCTTTACAAATGTTCAGTGATGGATGTGTTTGTATGAGGAAAGGGCTGATACTCATATTTTAAGAGTTTTTTTTTCTCCTTTTAGACTTGTAAAGTACCCCCAAATGGAATATGGGCAAAGAATATTAAAAGAACATGTACAGATAAAGAAGCCCAAAGCTATTAAACATATTCTACATCCCCATCAATTAAAGAGATTGAAGTTGAAACTGTGGATTGGCAAAGACAGCAGAAAGGATGTCCATGCCCTGCTAGGGAGAGGAAAATTGCATCCCCAAAATGTACTGCTTTCCAGTGTCCACATTTATATGTTGTACTCTTTGGTCCAACAGTACTGCTTCTGTGAACAAAAATACAAGTGGGAAAAATATATGTGAAAGAATATTTCTTGTACCGGTATTTGTAATTGAGAAAAATTGGAAATAACTTGAATGTCCATCAATAAAGGATAGGTTAAATTATGGTATAACCACATGAAAGAATACTGTTCACCCTTTAAAAATATGTGGGTAACTTTACATGTATTGATACGGAGAGATGTCCATGATTTATTGCTCCGTGAAAACAGCTACAAACAGTATTCACGTAGCCCTTGGTTGGCTTTCCAGCTTCTGGCTTCAGCTCAGATCAGCCTTGTGGTGTTGACGGTCATGGGTGCCTTGGCCATGGGGGCTGCTCACCGTTGGTTTAGGAACTGTGGGCTCTCTAGGAGGGCCTGGGAAGTTCGGTTTGCATGAAGGCTTTGGAGCCTTTTAGGACAGGGAAGAAGGGTTTAGAACGTGGGACGTAAGAATCCAGTTGAAGCAAGACAGGGAGGTGAGGGGAAAACACCCGTAAGAGGCGGCGGGGCAAAGCAGAACATCTACTCCCAAATGGGGTCACCATTTAGGCTTTGACCAACAGTGAACATGACAAGGCTTCGGGGGAAACTCAGCAAATGCCGGTCCTCATCAGACAGGCTCTCAGACTGCTGTTCCTTCCCCTTCAATAGCGTCATTTGCTCCTGGTCTTTCGGGGGGTGGGAAGAAGGAGGGACAAGAAAATCACAAGGTTCCTGGCCCCCCCCCGACAGGCAGCAGGGGGTCACTGGCCAGGAGCCACACCCCAACTTCCTGAGGCAGGTGTGGCCTGGGGATGAAAGGGCACTCTTTTTCCTACCTTTGAAGCTGAAGGTCAATGATGCTCAGTCAGTGAAAGTTAGAAAAGCAATAATAATTTTTTTGAAAGGCAGAAATCTTAGAAATATGAAGACCTGGAAACACGGGGGGAGTCAGATGCCTCATACTCTTTTCCTGCTGCATGAGTCAATATTGGATTTAAGGGCTTCTGTTTAAAAGTCCATCTGGGAAGCCAATCTTTTCCTCCCTGGCTAGCCCTGATGGGAAACAATGGCAGGTGTCTGTTGGTACCAGAAAGGGGTGGAAGAGGTTTTAGCCCGGACTTGTCCCATATTTTAAATATCACTGGATGCTCCATTAGTCCAGGGTAGGCTATTCCTTTGGATTTTATGGATCAGTAAGATAAATATTCCCCAAGATTTGAGGCACTGTCATAGGGCTGTCCATTTTTATTTTTCAAATAAGATTGTTAAAAATATGTTAAAGACTATTACACATGAAAAAGAAGAAAGCATAAACTCAGAAAAAAATGTTCTTTACATTGAATATAGTTACCCTTTTAATATACCGAATTTTTTTTAACATCTTGTTGCAGGCAGGCGAAACTGTATGGCTCAACTCTGATGCACACATCAGCATTTAAAGGCCACTGAATTAGTGTTTCAATCCCAGATGATATGATTAGGTTGTTGTGGTTTGCAGAAAATTAAATTCTTTAGCCAAACTAGATGCTAAGCTTCTGCCCAGAATCAATATGCTATTAGAAGTCCCAGAAACTAATAAACATACCATAACTATTAATTTATGGATAGGTTGTTGGCAAATAACCTCAGAGAAGGAATCCAGGCTTGAAACAGCTTTTGGAACACCAGATGGAGTGTGCAAGTTTAATCAGAGTCCTGGGAAGGGATCTGTGCCGTGTATTTTAAAAATCCACTGTAATCTGTGAGTTAAATCTGAGATGTGCTGAGAGAAGCATAGAGAAGTAGAACTTAATTGAAGCTGATACAGGAAATCATAACTCATGCAAAGAAACGCAGGTTGTTATGTTTACCGTGAAGTATGTTGATGAGAAGCAGGGACAATGGACCTCTCCAGAATCTTGTCACCAGGCAGCTTCACCAGAACACATGAGGCCAAAACACATGAGGCCAAAAGGAACCTGGCCTGAGCAAGCAGATGTCCCCCATTTCGAGTGGCAGAGCTGACACCGTGTGCCTGTCGGGGCATCTCGCAAGATGATGGGCCACAGCCAAGCCCAGGAGGCTTGTCTGTCTGTGGCAGGCTCAACTCCTAACGCTCTTCCCGTTATGTGATGGGTAGTTTACAGATGAAGAAATGAGCCCAGAATTGTCCAGTGACTTGACCTCGAGCAAAGGACCAGAGCTCACCTTTCCCCACCACGACTCCATCCCACAGCAGGTGGAAGGTGGACTGCGGCCAGAGAGCCCTCCGCCCGACGGGGAAGAGGAAACCCAGTCATGTGTGGAACCAACCAGCCAGCAAGCCCTGGCACCAATAATCAAGAAACGGTATTTTGGCCCAGTTTAATATGGGTGAAAATAGCTTACCAACATTTAAGGTTTAACTGCAGTTCCGTGTAGATTGGTCTGTATAATGATGTCCCTAAGTCACCCTACATTCATTCATTCAACAGTGTTATTGGACGCCTGCTGTGTGTCCCTCGGAATAAATGAGTGTCCATCAGAATAAAGTGACATTTTGTTTACTACACTCCCAATTAAAAAAAACAAACCCCTATTTGAAGTCCAGTACACCTGACTGTATTATTGCAATAACTTGCTACTCGACGGCACCATCTCAAATTGTACCTTTAAAGCCCACTCGGATTATGTCTTTCTCTTGCTTTACACACCTTCAGAGGCTCCCCATGACCATCAGATTGAATGTCCTCACTCAGCCTGGCTTTTGAGGTGGCCCATGACCTGGCTCTGTTTGAAGCCCCAGCCTTCCTGGAAATGACTCAGACAGTGGTGCACTGGGGGGTAGCGAAGTCGGATGTTTGGGTGAGAAGTAACGGGCTTTGCTGGCATAAGAGATCAGCAAAGAGCTGGACTCTTAGCTTTGTGCTCCAAACTCCACAGCACCCTACAGTGCGAAGGCCACCTTCCACGGTGCCCAGGTACATCACCCACCAGGCCACTGGCAAAATTACAGAGCATGGTTTGCCTTTAGTGTTCTCTACACCCTTCCTGTCCAATCTGTAAAGCTTTGTACCCCCTCCTGCATCTGAGACTCTCACCACTTCTAGTATCACTCTCTTGCAGACTTTAACATATTTATATTCAAATAATGGTGTCAAATCTCAGTCATGGATATCTATCTGGTGGCTTAGAGTTTTCATAGACCTTGCTCTTCTTACAGTTTCAAGGTAGAAACTTTTTAGGAAAGAGTTAGTTTTTAAGTTGGAAGCTAGACTGCACCATCTGTTGTCCAAGTCTCTGTTTCTTTTTTTTTTTTTAAAGATTTTATTTATTTGAGAGAGAGAGGGCAGGGGAGAGCAAGTGAGCAGAGGGGAGGGGCAGAGGCAGAGGCAGAGGGAGAAGCAGGCTCCCTGCTGGGCAGGGAGCCGGACACAGGGCTCGATCCCAGGCCCTGGGACCATGACCTGAGCTGAAGTCAGACACTCAACCAACTGAGCTACCCAGGCGCCCCCAAGTCACTGATTCTTAAATTTTTAATTTTTAATGTGCATAGAAATCACCTGGGGGTGATTTTAAGATAAAATCTTAAAAAAAAAAAAAAGAAAAGAAATCACCTGGGGATCTTGCTGAAATGCAATTTGCTCCGAGGTTCTCTAGCCCTTCCGCGCTCCCAGGTGATGTTGATGCAGCTAGACAGGGGACCACGCTATGAATAACAGGAGGACGTTCAAGTTCCTGAGCCCCATCCCACCCATGCCAGGGGGCCAAGTATTTTCCCGGGGCCCGAGTCAGTTGGCCAGTGTGGCTCAAAAAGCACATAGTAGTTGGCCTCTGCAGAGCTCAAGGCCATCAGTGAGATGGCTGTATGTCTTCTCCATCCGAGTCTCTGCAGACTTTGTTCGTTTCCCAGCCCTGCACCCTTTGGAGGCTCTAGTCTGGCTGTTGGAGATGGTGCTTCTCCTCCCTAGAAGGCGACTCAGCAAGTTCTTGAGGAGAAAGGGTAAAGCATTGCCCTTTGGGGGTTCCTGAGGCAGCTTCCTGCAAGTGAAAGAAGTACCTGTTGCCATTTCCTCCTTAACACATATTTTTTCTCCCTTTTCTACCGTCTGAGCAGCAGCTCCTGGGTGTATGACACCCAGCCCTCCTTTACGTCTATCTGTGTGTTTCTATGGAAAAGGAAGACGATAAAATTTAGCTAGAGCAGGCTGTAGTTGGGAAGTTATAACCTACCTAATTCCTTAATTAAGCTATCAATTAAAGCTATGTCTGTACCACCTGCTATGCCTGGGCCTCATGCCACGTGGTGGATGCCAACTCTGACAAACCCATCCCTCTGAACCCAGAGTTCCTGACACGTTTGTTTCCAGTAAATCTTTAGTCATCGCTCTCCTGGCCTTCCCCCATCACTTTTTCCTAAAGTACTTTTTGAAGTTCACACGCAGATAGGTTGCCCAACCCCATTTGTCATGCATGTGGTGGTAACAGAATGTCGGCCTCTGCCAGCAGATTTTAGCTGGGCCTTCTGAGGGCTATAACTTCTGCAACTTCTCTGTTGACCATCCGGCAAGGACCCAACTGCCTTTCTTGCCGTAGAGGCCCTGAACTTCACCCCAGAGAGAGGCATGGAGTAGACTGCTCCGAAAGAAAAAATGGAGTCAAGGACACAGAAAATGAGGCTCCTCTGAAGGTAAGCTCCATTACAAACTTCTGTTACCTAGGTGGATGTTAAATAGGCATTTGCTGAAAGAGTGAATGAGTGAAAATAAGAAAAGCAAGAAGAAAAAAGCTGTTGTATATGAAGCACGGTTGTCACTGCCAAATGCCTTAGTTGTTTTCCTGTTTTCCCCCTAGTTGCGTGTATGGCTCTTGCCTGGAATAGCTGGGCTCTCTGTGACATGTGTGATGTCACCCTCCTGAGAAGGTGAGGAGTAGCTCAGTTCACGGGGTTGTGGCAAGTTCCTCAGCTGTAGAGTGGTCCCCTGCAGGTCGTGGAGCTTATGGAGCTGGTCCATGTCAGCATTTAGGGGATTAAAACCCATAAACTGTGACCCCGCCCCCCCCAGCTCAACATGCTTTGTGATTTATCAAGCTGTTGACTGACACATCCGGGAAATGTTTACTCCACTGTGAGTAACTCAGAGACCTGCCACTGACTGTGTCAGAGGGCCTCCCTAAGAACTAGCATCCCAGAGGGAAGACTTGACCTCTAACTCTGCTCTATTCTTCACCTTGGGCGAGCATCTTTATCAAAGAGATGAACTCTAACCCCCACATGCAAATGAGGATGATGCCTACCACCAGCAGAAGGCCGAGCCACATGCTAATGGTGATTCCACTGTACCTGCACCTAGTGAAAGATGAGCGGAACGGTACCCAAGGGGCCGCCATCTTTCCCTTCCCTACCGAAGAACTACAAACATTTTCTCCATTTTAGTTTCAAAACCGAGCAAGGTTTTTTCAAAACCATCATCAGCTTGGGTATTTTCTAGATCATTTAAGGCAAGAAATAGTTTGCTGTGTCCCCTTCCCCCGCCCCCTCCAGTGAACGCTTGTTGAGCACTTGGCATGTATGAGGCACTGTTTCTAGGTACTGGGAATACAGCAGTGTCCAACAGACCCCACACCCTCCTGGGCTTACACTCCATTCCGGGAGGGGAAGCAAGGCAAAGTCAATAATACACAGTGTGGTAGACAGTGAGAAGGGCTATGGCAAAACTGAAAGCATGAGGGAGGGAAAGAGAGCATTGGGAGGGGTTGCAATTATAATTAAGATGATTGGCAAAGACCTCCTGGAGAAGTTGACTGGAAGACGCTGAGGAAGCAAGCCATTCAGATATTTGTTAAGAGTCTTTGAGACAGAAGGGATAACAAGTGCAAATGTTCTGAAGCAGGAGCAGGTCTGGTGTGCTTGAGGAACCAGAGGAAGGCCGGAGAAGCTGAATCCAACAACGTGCCGGAGGCCGGGTGGGGAGGGGTGGGTGGTGGTGGTGAGAGAGGGGTGGGAGAGAGAAGTCCAGAACAGGGGCCAGATCATTAGATCCCGAGGTCATTAGGACTGGGCTTTCATCTGAGAATGATCAGAAACCACTGGTTATTGAGAAAACAGTTGATGTGACTTCTGTTTAACCACAGTTCTCCCGGCAGCAGGTCGAAAAGCCGGTCAGAGCAGTCTGCCCATCTCGGCCGGGAACCACGGGGGGGTGATGAGAGCTTGGACAAGGTAAGAGACACCAGTGGTGAGAAGTGGTTGGTTCTGAATCTGTTTTGAAGGTAGAATCAAAATGCACTGCCAGTCAGTTGCACGTGGAACGTGAGAGAAGGGAAAGGAGGTGGCATGCCCCCAGCAGTTTGGGGTTTTTCGGCTAAGTGGAAGGATAACGTGCCGTTAACCAGGATGGGGACGATGTGGGAGGCGTGGGAGGGATGCGAAGAGCTCAGTGCGGGGCATATTAAACTTGGGGTAGGATGTCAGGAGAGTAAGAAAAGCCTACGTTTATTGAGCTCTTCTTGTACGTCAGGCACGGGGCGAAACTTCTCGCATATATCGTCCAATGTACTCCTTATGACAGCACTGTGACCATCTCTGTTTTAGAGATGACAAAACTCGCAATTGTGCCCACTCGCAGCCATACAAGACCTCACGCCACTATAACAACAAAAAGTAGATCTTTCCCCTTTAAGTTTTCTGTCCCGGCTGCACAACTTCCTGGTTGGCATTGGCTCATCAGCCTGTTAACGAAGATAAGAGTTTTCTCTCCTTGCTTCTACTGAACAGTGAGAGATTATCAGCTTCGTTCTGCTCCTGGAGCCTTGTGGATGCTCCATAAACAGTAGCGTGAGGGAGGGAGGAAGCATGGGGAAGTTGTAGGCACCAGCCAGCCATGCCTGGACCTGATGGGGCTCCTTGTGAGTGGAGGAGCCCAGGGATGGGGTACATCAGCTCACCAGGCACATGGTGGGTGCATGAGAGAGCTAAGCTTGGTAACTCAAGAGAACAGGGCATTCAACTTAGCAACCAAGTGACCAGCTGGGCTTTGTAACTACAGGTGTCTCAAATAGAAAGTAAGGGTCAGCCCCAAGGAGGCAAGCAGCATGAAGTGAAGTGTGAGCAATGGGGGCAGAGAGGCTGTTCAGGGCTAAGTCTGTGAGACCAGGTGTGCTTAGGTGTTCCTTTGTAGGTGAGCTCCTCTAGCTGGGGGAGTCTTCAAGAGGCCAACAGTGTGTGCTGAGAAAAAGAGAAGTAGAAAGGGCTTCGGTGGTGCCCCACTCAAGGAGTGTATTAGTTAGCTATGGCCAAGTAACAAATCACCCCAAACCTCATGGCTTGAAACAACCATGAACATTTATTATGTCACCCAGCTCAGGAGCAGCTGAGAGCATCTCAGAGGCTTCTTTACTCCCATGCGTGGCATCTGGGCTGGAAGAGCTGGAGCTCCTTGTTCTCAGGCATCTCTCTGTGCTCTCCACTCGTGGTCTTTCCAGCATGGTGTCTTCCAGATGGTGACACTTCCTATGTGGCAGCTCAGGGTTCCAAAGCTGTATGTCCCCAGAGAGAGGGAGAGAGAGAGAGAGAGACAACCAGGAGGAAGCCGTACCCCTTTTCTGGCCTTGCCTTGGGAGATAGGCAGCCATGTCTCCTGCTGTGGTCTGTCAGGAGCAAGCCCCGCCACCCCACCCCCGGCCCTTCTTCACAGGGAGGGGAATCAGACTCCACCTTTTGTCGAGAGGTGTATTTAAGAATTTTCTGGCATGTTTCATAACCGCACAGAAGCCTGTGACATAGTCTGGGGTCCTCCTAATTATGCCTGTGTCAGTAGGAAGTTTCTTAGTCTCTGCAGTGGCTGGGGTGTCACATCGGATGTGTGGAGGGAGGACGCAACACGCGGACAAGGAGCTTGATTTTCTGAGACGAGATACTGTGCCTATGTGGGACCAGGACGACTCCTAGGCCTAGAAACACTGTTTTCTGTGACTTGGGATGGCTTATATCGAGTAGATTGTGAAGTAGTGACCGCACAGGAGTACAAGGTGGTGTTAGAGGCCTTGACTTTGGCGTGTCTTTGATTTGTGAAGGCCTGTCCTTGGAAGACAGTGGTGTTCTAGACCTGCTGCCGCCACGAGTTAGTTGTCTCTACGACTGTTAAAATCATTGGCAGTTGAGTGCTGGCACCACCAGACCCTCGTTCTACTGACCCCAGTGTGAATGGCGCTTGGGGTCCCGCGTGCGGAAATTGGACTGTGGATAATTGTTTTGTTAGAGGGGAATTGGGAGGCGTAGCGCATTCAAATGTATTTCCGAGCAGTATTCGAAAGCCTCCTGTAAGGACACTGATTGCAGGCGATGTTTGCCTGATGCCAGCTAATTAGGAAAAGCCATTCTGGGCCTAGCTTGAGTGAGCCCAGGGAAAGATAAACAGAGTCGCTGTAGCTGGTGCATCTCCGCTCCCCAGCGAAGCTCGTGGTCTCCTTACCCTTGATCGAGTTTATTCTATGCACAGGCTTCTGCTAAAGGCTGCCGTGTCCCAGCGTGCCGGGCCATCACCAAAGTGGAGTAGCACTAATAGCGGGAGTTCTACCTGCTGCTGCTGAACAAGCAAGAGGAACCTGACCGTCACCAGGAGCGATTCCTTGGCCCATTTGGCATGGTCCGCAAATGGGTCCAGACATCGCCACTGAGGGGTTGATGTGGGCTGGCGGGGATTTTCCACTTTGGGGTCCAGCATTCCTGACTGACTTGTTCGAGGCGGGGCAGATGCCCGTAAGGCCAGACCCCAGGCAAGCATCTCTTAACATGGGGTCGGTGGGATGTCCTCAGGCAAATAGTGCAAGTGTTAGGCAAGAATAAGTTAATCAGTAAGCAAATAAAAAAAGAGAGAAAGGGAAAGTGAGCAAATAAATTTGGAGAACTGGGCTCAAGAAAGGGAGTTTTTTTTGCTTCTTTTGAAACAGGATATCTCAGAGCCTTCAATCTGCCGCCATGCACTGTGCCTGTCCGAGAGGAGATGAGGTGTTTTCCCTGCCTCATTTGACCAGTGGAACCATCTGCCTGTGACCACCTTGGGTGACTGAGTATTCTAGCAACGACTTTGACATGTGCTGTTCTCCACCAGAGCTGCATGAAGGGTAGCCCCGGACCAGTGGTCTGCAGTGGGGGAAGTACAGAAATCGAGAGGAAGCTCTTAGCATCTGTTCTAGCAAATGCACAGAGTGATTTGTATTTGCCTGATGAGCCTGAAAACAATGTTGTGGGGCTTATATTTTGTATTTCTTTTTTTATTATTATTAATTTTATGTTCCTAGCGGTTGACGTTTAGGACAATTTGCAGAAAATATACATCTGCAACACACTAAAAATGTGCAAAAGCCGTCCTTGCCTTCATAATCTGAGAGCAAGCCCACCAATACCTGGATCTTTCCGCACCACATCAAGAGTGCAAAGGTTATCCTGGAGGGGCTCTGGCCTATCTCCTAGCATCCCCCATCCCTGCCCGTTGTGGCCCGTCCACCCTGTGGCCCAGAACGAGGAGCCACGGCATGTGCCTCGTCCGAAGAGCAGTTCAGGAGGGGCCAGAAGGAGACAGCCCTGGCCCCATGTGACCTGCCACGTGTAGCCCCGCTCACGTGCCCGTCGCCCTCCCACCCTGGGAATATTGCTGACAGCTCTTTGAAAACTTAAGAAAGTATGACAGGCTTTCAGGAATGGTGACTTGCCACCGTGGCGCGGAGGCATGGGAGGATTTAAGCAGCTCGCTTTAAACAAGGCTTGGCTTTTGTTCTACCTAATCGTGCTGGTCATGTGGGGTTTTTTTTCCCACAGCTTTCTGAAGTGTTCTCCAATAGAGGACTTCAGGCTTTTAAAAACAGTAATTTTGGTAACAATGGTAATTACTTTAATTGGAGTTCTTTAAAGGTAGATCCTTCTCGCCCACCTCCTCTTAAGACATGAAGCATGCTGTCACCCATTGCGTCACCCCAAATCAGCGTGGTAGTCTTTCCTCTTTAGAGCTATTAATGGGCCAGGTAGGAGGGGAGTCAAGAAACTTCCAGAACTCACTATTTTTTAGTCTAAAATAATGACAAGTAATTTTTCCCTTGTTTCCAGGAAGTGGTAGATAATCAGCTTTATGTGTAGAAAAATACGCACGTTGCATATGACTGGGGCTCCCCAGTTAGGCCTTTCACAGAGGATTAGGACTCTTAATGCCCCACTGGGCTCCATTTCGTCACAAAAGCCTTTGGCACAATCTGTTGGGCTGTCATGTTTCTGGGGGCCTTGTGTAGTTATTAAGTGACATTAGGTAGCCCTGCATAGGGTCTTTTATCCGCAAATAGCCACATTCTTTAGAGTAGTTGCTTGAGCTGCTTGACACGCCCTAGGGAAGTAGGCAAAGTATCATAACCTTCCCTTTCTGTAGGAGACGGGTGAAGGGCAGCAGAACCTTCCTGAAGGAACCCTGTGGCTGTGGGGTCAGGGAGCTCGCAGCGATACCTGCAAAGACCAGCCTTCCCTCGGGGCCCATCTGGACAACCTCCTCTGCTTACCTCCTTTCCTATGACAGTGGGCCAGTCCTTTGGCTCTCGGACTTCTATTTCATGCTAAGCTGTGACGTCCTGGTTGGTGTTGGGTGAAACTGCTGTGAAGCGTGTCCATCACACATACCTAGGGCAGAGGAAGCCTGGGGAGCTTTGAACTTGGCCTCTGCAGCTCCTTCTGGATTGTGATGAGCAAAAGCAAGTAATTTGCATTGTGTGGTTCCCATTCATTTATGTTTTCACATCCTTTCTTTGCCCCTTGTCCACATTTTAGGAAGAGAATAAATATAAATGTTTTCTCTATAATTTCCTTCCCTCCCTATACCTATATCAATATCTATTTATGTATTGTAGGGGAGGAAAAATTCTCCCCTACCTTCTTTGGGTCTGCAGCTGGGTCTAAAAATTAAATTGACATAGGACAGATTAGCAGGAGAAAAGCATACAAGTTTAATTAAATATTTGCGTGTATGTGGGAGCCATCTCAAGATAATGAAGACCTGAAGAAGTGACCAGAACAGGAAGCTTTCATACCTTTTAGACAAAGAGACAATACATTTTTACTTATCAAGGGGCGCCTGGGTGGCTCAGTTGGTTAGGCGACTGCCTTCGGCTCAGGTCATGATCCTGGAGTCCCGGGATCGAGTCCCGCATCGGGCTCCCTGCTCAGCGGGGAGTCTGCTTCTCCCTCTGACCCTCTTCCCTCTCGTGTGATCTCTCTCATTCTCTCTCTCTCTCAAATAAATAAATAAAATCTTTAAAAAAAAAAAAAAGACAGAGGTGTTTGGGCTAGGAGTAGGAAACTATGCAGAAGTATCTAGGAAGTTACGGGTCTGTTTAATGTTTGCTTGTACGGATCTTTCGGCCTCCATTTCCCAGTCTCTGGTGACAAGAATGTTTCTTTCCTCCCAGGACAGAGAAGGCACTTTCATATGGGAGTTTTACCTTCTGCTTTCAGGAAGAAAAAGTAGGGTCCAAGTGTTTTACACCTGCTGATTGTTTCTTTCTCTTCCTTCCTTCCTTCCTTCGTCCTCATTGCATCCTTCCTTCCTTCCTCCTTCCTTCTTCCTTCCTTCCTTCCTTCCTTCCATCCTTCCGTCCTTCCTTCCTTCCGTCCTTCCTTCCTCCTTCCTTCCTTCCTTCCGTCCTTCCTTCCTTCCGTCCTTTCTTCCTCCTTCCTTCCTTCCTCATTCCTTCCTTCCTTCCTTCTTTCCTTCTGTCCTTCCTTCCTTCCTCATTCCTTCCTTCCTTCCTTC